CTCGATCCCAGGACCCTGGCATCATGACCTGAGCCGAAGGCAGACGCTTAATGACTGAGCCACCCAGGCGCCCCCTTTCTTTCTTTTTTTATAGGCAGATAATTTCAATAAAATGCGATAGTCCAGGGATGGAAGTATGCTTTGGCTGGTTTAGGAGCCCAGGTAGTCCTTAGAGATTGGTACAGTTGACTTCTGAATAGAGGCTTGAAGGTGGTTTAGGAATTAGGCAGATGAAGAAGAGGTGTTCTAGGCTGAGGGAAATGCATGGGTAAAGGGGACATAGCATTGTGTTGTGTGCTGGAATGTACAAATAGTTAATTCTTACTCAAGTGAAGTGTTAAATGGTGAGGTGGGGAGTGGTGAAAGATGAGCCTGGAGAGGAAGGTAGGGTGAGGTCATGTAAGGCCTCATATATCCTGCCTGTGGCTTTTGTAAAATGTTAAGTGGAGGAGAAGCATAATCAGATTTTCGTTCCCTCCAGCATGCCCTAGAGCAGGGCTTTTCAAATTTTAATACCCTTGGGGCGCCTGGGTGGCTCAGTTGGTTAAGCATCTGCCTTCGGCTCAGGTCATGATCCCAGGGTCCTGGGATTGAGCCCCGCATCGGGCTCCCCACTCTGTGGGGAGCCTGCTTCTCCCTCTCCCACTTCTGCTCCCCCTGCTTGTATTCTCTCTCTCTGTCAAATAAATAAATAAAATCTTTAAATAAATTTAATACGGTTATAAAATCACTCCAGAATCCCATTAAAATGGGGAGTTCCAATTCAGGAGTTCTGGGGTGGGATCTGAAATTCTGCATTTTTAGCAAGGTTCCAGGTTAAAGTTGGAATTATTTAGAGCAGAGATGATGATATCCAGGTTTTTGGCTCATTTATATATACACACAGTAATATTCGCTCTTGCTGTACAGGCATCATTTCGACGAATACAGTGAGTCTTATAACAACCATCACAGTTAAGATCCAGAATAGTTCCATCACTCCAAAAAAACCTCCCTTGTGCTGCCCCTTTGTAGTTAAGTCCTCTCACCCATTTAAATCACTATTCTTATATGTATAATGTGTCATGTTTTTTTTATCTGTCTGATTTCAGTTTTCCCCCATCTTTGGTTCTCAGCAGTTTGATTACAGTATGTCTGGGCATGATTTTGTGTGTGTGTGTTTTTCCTGTTTGGGGTTCATTGAGCTTATTGAATATATAAATTTGCCTTTTAGCAAACTTGGGAAGTTTTCTGTCATGATTGCTTTGTATATTTTTTTCTATACCAATTTCTTTCTCCTCTTTTAAAAAAAAATTTTTAAGATTTTATTTATTTGACAGAGAGACAGAGAGAACACAAGCAGGGGGTGTGGGAGAGGGAGAAGCAGGCTTCCCGCTGAGCAGAGAGCCCAGTGTGGGGCTTGATCCCAGGACCCCAGGATCATGACCTGAGCTGAAGGCAGATGCTTAACGACTGAGCCACCCAGGCGCCCTTTTTTCTCTCTTCTTCTGGGACTTCAAATGATATGAATGTTAGACCTTTTGATACTATTTCCCAAATCCCTGAAGCTGGTTTTTTTTTTTTGTTTTTTTAAAGAAACTTTTTTTTCAAGATTTTATTTATTTATTTGAGAGAGAGAGAGAGAGAGAAACAGCATGAGAGGGAAGAGGGTCAGAGGGAGAATCAGGCTCCCCACTGAGCCGGGAGCCCAATGTGGGACTCGATCCCAGGACTCCGTGATCATGACCCAAGCCGAAGGCAGTCGCTTAACCAACTGAGCCACCCAGGCGCCCCCTGAAGCTGTTTTAATTTTCTTCTCTCAGTTCTTCAGACTATAATTTCTGTTGCTCTATCTCTGAAGTTACTTACTCTCCTTTATCATCTCCATTCTGTTGTTGAGCCCATCCAGTGAATTTTTAATTTCAGATATTATAATTTTCTCTTCTAAAATTTCCATTGATTCTTTATAGTTTTTATATCTCTGCTGAAAACTTCAGTGTTTTCATCTATTTTATGAGTGTTTACCTTTATCTCATAGATAAGTGCTTTAAAGTCTTTGTCTTGTCATTCCAACATTTTGGTCATGGGGGTGTGGTTGGCATCTGTTAATTATCTTTTCTCTCAGGGCACCTGGGTGGCTCGGTCATTAAGCGTCTGCCTTCTCGGCTCAGGTCATGATCTCAGGGTCCTAGGATCGAGCCCCGCATTGGGCTCCCTGCTCGGCAGGAGGCCTGCTTCTCCCTCTCCCACTCCCCCTGCTTGTGTTCCCTCTCTCGCTATGTCTTTATCTGTCAGGTGAATAAATAAAAAATCTTTTAAAAAAAAATTATCTTTTCTCCCAAGAATTCGATTTTCCTGTTCTTTGCATGTTGAGTAATTGTGGATTATATCCTATGTATTTTGAATCTTATGTTCTGGATTATTGGTCCTGTTAAAATCCTCTCAGGGTTGATTTTTGTTTTGACAGGCAATTAGCCTAATGAGTTAGGTTCTCACTGCACGTTCTGTTTTGCCTCCTGTGGGTGGTGGTTATATCAGTCCAATTTTCAGAGCCTTTACTATGCTTTTTGAGTCTGACTCATACCACTCAGGGGTTAATCTGGAACTTGAGCAGTAGTTAATATCATAGTTCAGTTCTCAAAGTCTTTGTCATGTTTCTTTGAATCTGCTTTACATGTGACAGCTCAGGGTTGAGCCTGAGACATGTTGAATCATATATAGAATTAGGTGATTCCCCTTTTCTGCTCTTTTTTTTTTTTTTACCTGCAGTAGTCTCATGCACCCTTCCTTCCCGATACCCACATGCTGGTTCATATGACCAGAAAGATTTCTCTGGGCTTTCTTACTTCAGAGCAGTCCCTTGCAACTAAGGCCATTCTCTCTTTAGCCTCAGAAATATACTGCTACCAGTCGTGGCAATTTGGGCACTTAAAACCCAAGAGAGAACCTGTCTCTCTTGCTAGAGGAACCACATGCTCAAGAGTATGGAGAGCATCTCTTTTATTTCCTTCTCTCTCTTAACCCTTTGACTGACTGAGCCACCCAGGCATCCCATAGCTAAAAAATCCATAAGTGTTGCAGCTATTAAGGTCTTTTTGCTGGGCGCCTGGGTGGCTCAGTGGTTAAGCGTCTGCTTTCGGCTCAGGTCATGATCCCAGGGTCCTGGGATCAAGCCCCACATCTGGCTCACTGCTCAGCAGCGAGTCTGCTTCTCCCTCTCCCACTCCCCCCGCTTGTGTTCCCTCTCTCACTGTCTCTCTCTCTGTCAGTCAAAATAAATAAAAATAAAATCTTAAAAAAAAAAAAAGGTCTTTTTGCTAAGACTGGAGAAAGGGTTTGATCACCTTTGGGATTAGGAAAGGCAGGGCTAATTATAAAGAACCAGGCTGCCAGGTGTGTTAACTGTGTCTGAAAAAACACTCTTTGAGAGTCTGGATTTAGTCCTAGCCTTCCCTCAAAACCATGTCCAAAAATGCATCCAGTGTTTTTTTTTTTTTAAAGATTTTATTTATTTATTTGAGAAAGAGAGAGAGAGAGAGAGAGCACAAGCAGGGGGAGGGGCAGAGGGAGAAGCAGACTCCCCACTGAGTAGGGAACCCACCATAGGGCTCAATCCCAGGACCCTGAGATCGTGACCTGAGCCGAAGGCAGATGCTTAACTGACTGAGCCACCCAGGCACCCTGCATCCAGTCTTTTTTTGTGGCTTGGTAGGTGTTGCTATTCATCTTTTATAAAAATTCAAGTTGCTGAGTAGTAATATTTTGTTAGCTTGTAATTTGTTTTCTAAAAGGCATGATCCTTTTTTTCTATATGTGCCCTGGGAACTTTTTACCAACCTTGTATTCTGTTACAGCCTCTGGTTAGGTTAACTGCTCTATAACATGAAGGGATATATCTCAAATTAATCCTATTCAATAGATTTAAACAGAACCACCTTAGTTCATTGTTACATGGATTTGCGTATGTGTTCAGGTCACATGTCTTCTGAACATTATAATTGCATATAGTAAAAAGCTAATTCAACATAATTACCCTGCAAGATGAGTGTTAATTCTGTCCCTCAAGTCAGACCAACACTGTCTTCATGTGAATTGTCTAGATAGAAAAATACTTGTTACAAAGGATATACCTGGGGAAGGAGGAAAAGAAAGCAAAGTACAAGGAGACAAGGATTTAATAACCACATTAAATTGGCTAAAGAAAGCAACATTTGGGGGGTTC